ATCAACTTAAGCAAAATGGAATGTAACACATAAGCCGAAATGATCAAATCAACTTAAAGCCACATGTGAAAACACGAAATATACTTCAAATACTCATGTTCTTATCATTAAAAAAAAAAAAAAAAAAGTGATATGATGAGAAAAATCCAACTAATTCATTGAATTTACAATAATAGAGAGACTTACATGTCTTTAACCGCAAAAGTGAGGCCACTTAAAGGTAGTTGATGAGGAGACGGGGTTGGCTGGAGAATAAATTTGTCCATGAAGGCTCCATAATCTGTCTCTCTCGCCATTTCTTCCACTGCTATTGTTCTAACTTCTAACTGTGTATGGCTGGCTCTGCTTTATCGTAATGTTACCAAAAACGCTGAAGCAAAAAAATCTTTTGTAAAATGAAACTGATATCAGAAAGGTTCCGGTCCTCACCCCTGTTCCAGTCGATAAGGATAAATTATTATTAGAAAGCTCACAGTCCGAACAGATAATATCAGAAAGATCGATCAATGGTCGAACGGATAATATCCGAAAGGTCAGAGTCAGAACAAAAGGTCCTAGTCCATGAGGATACTTTCAGAAAGACACCATGTTTTAAGGATAATATCAGAAAAGTCCCGATTTCTTACGGATATACTAAAGGTCCCATTTCATAAGGACAATATCGGAAGCTCCCCAGTTCATAAGAATACTATCAAAAGGCCCCAAGTCAGTTGGATTATATTGAAAGGCACCAGTTTTTACACTAAATATGCAAAGGTCGCACTGTTTATTGTTAACATTACAAAAATCCCATTCCATACCATACGGCTAATATGAAGGCAATCAGAGAGAGCAGAGTCCTTTTGTAGAACGATATTAACTAAGAATATATCATTATAGATCTTCGTAATCAATACATATAGCGGATATCTTCCTCCATATTTGACATATCTATTTACATTAAGAACAGCTGAACAGGGACAAATGGTCTTAAGATCTTGAATTTCCAACTATTTTTCTCATAGAGGAAACATATATCTATGTATTCCCTGAATTTTTGTAGGAAATGAAGAGAATACTGGCCCCTTAACAAATACATTTCAACATTCTGCATTTTTATTTTTGTATACAAGCCTCCATGGCACCTGCAGAAAGAGATGTTTAAAAAGAAGGTGTTATGAAGAGAAAAAGTGAAATAGAATAGACTCTATGCCGATTTTTCATCTTTAAGAATGATAAGAAACTTACAGAAAATTATTGGAAACAGCCTATTTAGTTTAGTAACTTGTTCTTTCGGCAACTTGGATCTCTTCTTTGAGGGTGTCATGAAGAGTACTGACAAGGTTGAGCAAGAATCCATCTGAACCATGTTTCGCCACCAAGGAAACTGACACAGGAAGATTATCATACATACCTAGTGGGATGCTCACCTGTAAATAAAACCAATTCCCAGAAAAGACATTAGAAAAGTAGAAAATTAAATGGTCTTGTAGAAACCAAATTAGAATGTGAGAGAAAGAACCTGACAGAAGCCAGATACTCCAGCTATAGCAAGCAAGCGAAAAGCCTTGGCTATATCAACTTCAAAGGCAGCTGCATCCATTTTTAGTTTCGGTGGAGGACCTTGAACTGTAGGGTAAACAAAGATACCGCTATCCTGATAGAATATAATTCAGATGAGTAATTTTTAAATTGGATAAGGTAAAATTATGTGAGAGAAATGGTGGCTGCAAAATTTATTGACATGAGACACACCCCATTCTGTTCTTGCAGCAAGATGTACATACTTTTTTACAACAAATCCTTAAGTTCAAAATGAAATGGTTTTCACAATGACAACGTAAAGGCTAAATGAATATTATGCCAGTGTAATCATGTTGATCTATACCTGAATTTAAGAGAATGCATACAGAAAGCATCTAACACAACTGAGGAAAATACTTCACAGCAGAACTTATGATCTTCAATGAAAACTGTATTCTTCGGTTTATAATGGTATATTATATGAGTGTCTTGCTGCATTTAGTAAGCGGATTAGACGCTTATATGAATACCCAATAATATCTCTGTAACCTAACATGCGAATACATTATATCATATTGAAAGAAATATTCTTTTAGTTAAAAGGTTCATAATCTTTGTTTTAAGTACAGTTTATCTACCAGAATACCTATTAAAAACTATTATGAGATTTAATGCCAGGCTAATATAAGTATGGGATTAATCAAGCTTTGAACAACAGAGAATATTTGACTTGTGCTGCATTGAGAGAGAGAAAAGTACCCCAAGAAGAGCAGTAAGAGCAGCACGTAATTCCGTCCTCATAGATTGACAGGCATCAATGTTATCTGATGATGTTCTCATTGCTTCCCATACCTCTTCATGTATTCCTGGACCAAATTCAGGTTTGACTGTAGTCACCCAGTCACCATGGTTCTTCTTGACTTCATACCTATGCTTCAAATAGTAATAAAATTCAGCCAAAGATTAATCAAAAGGTACTACAGGTCATGTGAATCACTTAAGAATTCTACAAAATTATTTTGACAGTCTGCACCTTTGTAGCAACCTCATGGCTCTTGAAAGGGCTGCCAAGGATGGTATAGTCTCTTGATCATTATTTCCTTCACTTATGAAATTCTTCAAACTTGGAACTTTGTCCTTGACATAGTCCCCAAGAATTACATTCTTAATAATATGACCTGCATCACCAAACACATTAAGTGGTATCTCACCTAAAGGAAAACAATTTTATAAAATCTATATCGTGCTCAGAAGTAATTAGTTACTAATTTCATCATCAGATATAACAGCCTAATCAAACAAGTTAATGGAAATCTTATCACTACCACACCTTCAATAAATTCGAAAGGTCCAGTAGAACATGACTAGTAACAGAGCCATATGGTAAATATGCCTACCCCCAAACAGTTTCTCCACTGCTTTAAGAAGAACTTGAGTTGTCCGACCACTTGGAATGCTTGAAAGTCGTACGCAATCTTCAGCGACAATCACCTGACTAGGTCTGACATGAGGCGTATCAGATGACTCCAGCAGAACATGACCAACTTGCTTCAAGATTATAGGATCCCTAGCAAACCATCCTAGATGAAAATTTGGTGTCAAAAGAATGAGTCACCAAATTAAAAACTGATAGAAATTTATTAAGTTTTCTAGAACAACTATAAATTATCCATGCCATGGACAAAACAAAATTTGTGGAAGAAGAGAAATCACAATATTTTAGATAATGTTGTAAACCTGAGTCAATCTTATTCTAATCAAGATTCAACACAATCAAACACAGATCAAATACAGAAAAGGAACAGCAGACAATCTTTTTACTGTGATTCACTTGTTCAAGATTGAACAAGCTACGTCCACGTTAAACTCCAAAATATGGAGGCTCGCTGCACTATTATTATTGTCACCAAAGATTACAACACACCACCCAATCTTCCCTTCAAGCCCTTACTAACAAGAATCACACCAACTTCACTTCTATACCCATAAATCTATAACCTTAATGAAAATTCTAACCCTGATTCTCTACACCACAAAGAAAGACAACTTTGATGGGTGGATCAACCACTAATTTACACAAGAGCAAAGTACTATACAAAGAACCCTAGCAGATATCGATCGAAAGAGACTGTTGAGAATGAGGAAAGACTTTAGCTTTTATATGGTTGACCAGCAGTAAGTCTTCAACCGTTAGATTGCTTGGAGATCAATGAGCAGAAATGCAAGATGTATTAAAACTAAAACGACAGCTTAAAGGCTTCACTCATTAACAGATAATAACCAGTTGGTCCATTTGGTAAAGCAAACTGGTATTATTATTTAAATTAAACATAAAGCTTCCTTACTACAGAAGCAATTTCAAAATGCATTTTTAAAGATGTTATACACAATGCTCTCAAAGTAGGTTGCTCAGATACCAATTCCTTACCTACAGTATCAAAAAACTGTGACATAGGAATTACTCCAGCAGTAGAAACAGCACCAATTGAAGTCCGAAACCCATAAATTCCACAATATGATGCAGGTACTCTTACACTTCCTCCAGTGTCAGTGCCTGTAGCCGAGAGAAGTTTTTCACTTAAAAACTGATATGGACAAGCCGAGAAACATAAGGACCTATAAGACAGAAATACTGACCCAAGGAAAAATCTACAAGCTTTGCACCTACTGCAACAGCTGATCCACTAGAAGATCCTCCAGGTATCCGGTCAGGTGCACACGGATTTGTGGGTGTTCCATAATGTATATTTTCTCCATTTATACTGCCATACGATTATTCATTGTTTCATCAGTAATTAGCAAATTAACATTCAAAGATGAATTACCTATAGGAGGAGTCTCAAATCATCAATTGATTATGAATTGACAAATAGTGAACTTGTTTCCTACTATTTCAAAAGAGTAACACAAAGAATAACTAACTAAAACCAATACATTGGTTAAAAGAACTCCAACCTGCATGCCATTTCATCCATGACAGTTTTACCAATACAAGTGGCACCTCCCCTCAAGACAGCCAAAACAGCCGGAGCCGTTGACGTGGCTGCCGAATGAGTCCTTGCCCATTCAGGATGTCCAAATCCAGTTACATATCCTTCCACATCAAATCTGCATACAAATTTCAAAATAATAATAATAATAATAATCCAATACAATTTAAAAGAAAAAAAAAAAAAAAAACAGCCAAGATCAATACATCAGTATGGAATTAGTCCTATCTATTGTAAAGCACGAACTGTGAGAGGAACACAAATGAAACTAAAGAGCTTAAGTTCTTAAACAATTCAACACTCTCATTGTCTCACATCAACTTAAGCAAGACGGAGCGAAACACATAAGCTGAAACGATCCTATGAACTTACAACAAAGATACTTCAAATACTCATGTTCCTGCCTATCTTACTGACATGATCAGAAGATCAGACCCCAATGGAATTCATTGAATTGAGAACAGAGAGGTATTTACTTACATGTCTTTAATTTCAAAAGTAAGGCCACTTAAGGGAAGTGGATGAGGTGAAGGGACTGGCTGGAGAATAAATTTTTCGACGAAAGCTCCATAATCTGTGTCTCTCGCCATTACTTCCACTGCCATTGTTCTCACAGTATATGGTTAGCTCGGCTTTATCCTTGATGTTATCATAAACAGCTAAGTCGTTGTAGAGGTAGACATCCCGCTAGTAAAACTTCTTTCAGCCAACAAGCATGCATGGACCGCAAGACATGTGGTGACTTTGTGGCTACTCGCCATTGGACGGCGGCAGAAAGTCTTTGATCATTTGAATAATAATATCGGAAAGTCCCCTGTTCATTTCACTTACAACCGAGGAACCCTGATCAGTTGACTACTATCAGAAAGATCCGTGTTCATTTGACTAATATCATAAAGAACCCTATTTATTTGACTAAAAATTGATGTTCCTGTTCCTTTGAAAATTTTCTGAAGCCCGTGCAATTTGCAGAATTCAAATTATTTATATTAATAATTGTGATATTTATATAGTAATTAATTATAGAACATAATATTAATTATTTTAAATTTTTTTTACACTCCTTGTGAACGGTTCACAAGGAATGTCAAAAATTAAATCACAATATCCTGATCCAATAACTAGTTATTTTAATACTATAAACAAAAATATTTATTATCATTCAATATAATATAGTTTTAAATATAAAATTTTATTGTATTTAAAAGTTAATTAAAATATTTTAATAATATTATTTTTTAAATATCAAGAACTGGCAACAAAGTATCAACTCATAATAATGGAAGTCAATACAAACTCCAGAAATAGCAAGAAAACATTCAATCATTTCCATCCGAATCCTCATCGAAGATATACAAGTATGGGACTATTACAGGGGCCTGCCCACTAGATTCCCTTTCCGTGGACTCGATAGTTACTCTGGGAGTGTTCCAACCCAACCGTTGCATGTAGACTGCATCATAGGCTTCAATGTTCAACCCAGAAGCAAGAAAAAGTTCCATCTCGTTCACAAATCGATCTGTTCTTGCCATTAGAAAAGGCCTTGCCGCATCAGAGACTAGAGCCTTGAAGTCTTCCTGTTTTGCTTCAGGTTTTTCTACTCGTCGCATATGCTCGTTTCTGGAACTCACAGCAAATTTAGGTAAGTTAAATTACAAGTTTCATCATACATAACCAAAAAACTGAAAACAAACACGGAGTTTCAATTGATTGAAAGTTCAAATCAATTTCCATATATTTACGATGCAAGCAAAACTGAATATTACCTCCTCAAAAATGAATCAACCACACCAATTATGTGATGCACAACAATTTCAACATCTTGCTCCTATAAAAAAACAAGCAAACCATTCTTCAATAGTCAACAAAATGTAGAGGAATTTTACTAGTGATATAACATATAACAAGTTTGGAAGAGGTAAATGCATGGCCAACTCCTGTAAACAGCACAATTATAGACAATATCCATAATACAGGTGGTCCTAAACTTGCCAATACCAAAAGTTTTGGTTCATAGTCCAAAAGAGACACAGAAGACTAAAAATCTGTCTGTTCTGGTGAAAAACAAATTAAAGACAGAATTATGCCAATGCTATTAGATGCAGCTCCAAAATGCTAAAAATTTACGGTCAACAACAGGAACTTTTCAATATGTTCTCCAAAAATCTAGTCAATTATCCTTTATCCTCACGACAAAACAGATCAAAATTGTCCAGTAATCTTGCTATCCCTATGAAGTAGGTTCATAATCTGAATTCAACAAGAAAAGCAAGCAGCTTATGTTCCAGAAAGCAATTCAGACAATAAATATTGTCAAACCGTTTTCCTCCAATTCGGAAAAGAACGTAGGGCTTCTTCTAAAGGTAAATGAGAAAAAGGTACATAATTGCCAAGCGAATGAGCTTCAAGAAAAGAAAATTTATGACAGCCAAAATAATCTCTCCTCTTCCATTATTGGGACAACTCCCTCAAAATGGAAATATATTTGCAGATATAGGTTCCATGATTATAAACAATGCTTTAGTACATAGAAGGATGTTCAAGTAAAAGCTATATAACCAATATTTGTATTGCTATTAGGGAATCTCCTTTTAGTTTCATGGATTTGCTCTAGGGCTAAAGAGAATTTAACTTTTAATTGGATGTCCAACCCATGCTCTAAGTAACTAAGGGCAAGAAATTGCAAGGACCAATAGACTGATGAAATCATACCTGCATCAGAGCTTGATTTCCCTTCTCAACCAACCATGCAGCCACTGATTTGACTGAAGATACTTACCAGACTTCCAGTACCGAAAACATTGAATATGTCATTTAAGATACCTGTTGAACACATAATTGACTGAAAAACATATACGGATACCATTGATTTGTCAGAAGATAAAAGCAAAATGACAGCAGATTTGAAGTCAAAGAATCAGAAACGCTGCTTAAGACCTGATTCTGTGTAATAGCATTGCAGTCTAACTTATGGGCTTTTGAAAAGATAAACCTGCAATTAGCAAAAGTAAAAGAGTGAAAAAGACATCTAATGATCATGTAAAAAAATTTTGAAGAAAGAATTACCTATCCCCAGTTTTGACCAATAAATGCCTTTGAAAATGAGTTCCATCGTATCCATAGATGATTGAAAAGTTCTCAGTCTGCATCTTGGTATAAACATAGCATAATCAGTAACACTTTTCACATTACATCTTGTCATGCTTCCAGTCCACCTAACTAGAAAATCACATTAGCAATGCTAAACACACTAACCTTGCATAAGGACACTTTACTGAAGAAAGCAGGCTCCGAATGCTTGCTAGCAACCACTTTAGTCCATTGCACAATACAGTTATAACAAAACTTATCTGCACCACAGCATGCAAATCCAAAGCCTTCACGAATGATCAAAACCATAAATTCCACTTTCTTCTCAATCATATATTCTAACTTGTAACTAAATGCGCATGCAGGCAGAATATTTTTCAAAATAAAAATTTGAAATCACACTTACTTCACAGATGTAATCCCCCAAAAATATAATAAATAAATAACAATTAAATAACGCAAAGTACAACAATGTCGATTGCGAGCACAATTCCAGTACGTTCGAAAACAAGAAATATCACAAATTAAAAATCTAATCCTTAGCGTTAAGTTCATTTTGCCGCAATTAATTTCTCTTCGATTCATATAAAATCTTCACTTTACCAATAAACAATTTATGAATACATAGCGATATCTTCCACTGTTTCGACATAAAGGGCTTTCTTAATTTATGTTTGGAAACCCAACTCATGAAAATGTCAAAACAAAGATTAGAGTGAACATACGGTAGCATTTTATCAAGATAGGGTCTTGAACCAGGGTCCGAGACAGATGGGGCACGGGGTTCGGATCTCCTGAGGAAGCTGATGATCCGCTTTTAGCATTGCTTTCCATAATTCCTTCTCTAATCTCGTGTATGTAGGCTTAGCAGCTGCTATTTATATCCATGACATACAAGCGAAAGTTTATGGGCGGGTTTTAAGACTCTCGACGCTTTGTTAGCGGTTATTGCTGCTATTTTATACCCTTTGAACGTTTGTTTTACTAATTATTTTGGCATTTGTTATTAGAATTATACTATATTAGTATAGATAATACTTGGGTTCTAACAATGTCTAACTAAAGCTATACGGGTATACTCATAGTACGGTCTATACTTTAGTTAGTACACACAGATTGTACCCATCTCCCGTTTACCCATAGCTCACCGTATAGATATATATGACTGATAGGCTTATTTTTCATAGAATAGTTGAGAAATTTTTCCAATAAACACTTGTTTAGGCCGTATGGGACGGGTTTTAAACTCTAGTGGTTCTATGTTAATATTTATCACTTTTACGTTTTTTTTCTTTACCTTAATTGGTAGGTCCACTATCTCATTAATCGTTGGGAGAGACTAACGTAACAAACTACGACCACATTTTCCAATTAAATTACGAATACTTATATGAGAATCGAACCTCAGACAGTGTGCCTTTTACCTTATTTTTATTATAAAATTTTGGATTATACCCACAATTAAGTTTTGTTACACAGAAAGAAGAGTTTGAAAATTCATCATTTAGCATAGAAACACATGCGCAAATTCTCAAAATTATGTCAAGTACTAAATTTTAATCAAAGAATACATTGGTACGGCCTCTTCAAGTATAAATTATTGGCGGCATGGATTCTTTGCTTTTCCTAATCATCCTGCACATTGCCTGACATGTTACAATATGGTATGTGGCCTAAAATCTTTTGTGATAAATCAACTTACCTCTCAAAGCTAATGTTGTGTGGTTCCACCTTGGTGAATACACAACTGAGAAATCAAATTTGATGATAGTCTGTTACCAGACCAGCACAATCCAAGCTCTTTATCACAACTCAGATTCCTTCTCTTAACAATGTGCTTGAATGGCTCCAAAAATAGTAAATTCATTCCCGGCCTTGTCTTCTTTTTCTTTTTTCACATCAGGCAATGGCTCAACCAAAAGGATTTTTTTTTCTTTGCCAACTTTACTCTGTAATTTCTTGAAATCAGTGTCAATGATGTGTATTTCAATAGGAATCCACGCGTCCAAAACCTTGCGGCTAGCTTCATCAAGATTTTTTAACATTGATCTTCAAATTCCTGTGAAGGTGAATCTTTTAGCTATCCAACGAATATGATCTGTGTAAGCTTCAACCTGAATGGCCATGACTTGTTAGCTTCTGTCACAACTGTAAGAACCCTGTTCCTTTTTCAATCATATCTTCATTTCTCAATGGTTTTTGCATTATGTAAAGAGAATAAGTTTATGATATGTACTTATGCAAAACCTGGTTTAATATGTGAAATCTCCTCACCATTTCCTTTACTGGATATTTCCTTTTTTAATGTTTTGCCTTCTATGCAAATTAATTGTTCTGTGATTACCATAAGTACATGTATAGTTTGCACTAATCCAACAATGATATTTATTATTATATACATGACAATAAAGTTATGGTTAGCTCATAGCTGTTACCTAAATGAAAATGAAATTTTGGTAATTTTTTCTTGGATCTAACCTGTCAAGAGAATTAGGGAAATGTTTAAAGATTGATAAAACCAGATGTTTCTGATGCGT